AATCGGTTCAGTAGTTTTCACGGTTAGCGATTACAACGGTTTTAGCGCTTTTGCTTTATATATTAGTAAGATGAATTAATAGCACAAGTGCCTATCACCCAATGACCTGGGGTGCTAACTGGCCTCTCTATTAAATAATAAAATGTTTAATAAGAACATAAGGGCCTATCACCCGATGACCCGGGGTGCTAACTGGCGTCTCTATTGAATAATAAAATGTTTAATAAGAACATAAGGGCCTATCACCCGATGACCCGGGGTGCTAACTGGCGTCTCTATGAAATACTAAAATTTTAAATAATAACACAAAGGCCTATCACCCGATGACCTGGGGCGCTTCCTGGCCGCTCTATTAAATAATAAAAAGTTAAATAATAACGCAAGCGCTGATCACCTGACAACCCAGGGTGCTGCTTGTGCTTGATTAACATTTTATTATTTAATAGAGCGGCCAGTAAGCGCACCGGGTCGTTGGGTGATAAGCACTTGGGTTATTAATATTACAATTTTTGATTTCCGCGCTTTGTGGGTATCGTCTTTGGCAATGCTTCTTCACTGCTGTCTGCTCGGTGGAACATTTTCCCTAGCTCGTATAGCTATGCATACGATCTAGGGAAAAAGTTCCGATATGGAATCCACCTAACCCAACGCTGCTAATCTCTATCATAAGATGGCGCTTGTTTTATTATTTTACATTTTATGTTTGGATATAGCAGCCACTAAGCGCTTTGGCTACTTATGTGATAAGCGGTTGTGTTAATACATAATATTTTATTTTTATAAAGTGGCCAGTAAGTGCCCAGGGTCACAGGGTAAAGGGCGTTTGTGTTGTTGCCTAACATTTTATTATTTTATAGAGTTGCAAGTAGGCGCCCCAGATCATCAGGCGATACGCACTTGTGTTATTGCTTAACACTTCATTTTTTAGTAAGTGGTCAGTAAACGTTCCATGTCATCAGGTCAGCTATGCTCGTGTGATCAATTATTATTTTATTGATTGACAAAGTTACCAGTAAGGGCACTTGGTCATCATATGATACGTACTTTTGTTTCCATTCAACATTTTTCTATTGAATAAAGTGGTCAGTAAGTGCCCAGAGAAATCAGAAGGTGCGTGTCATTCATACATAACCGTGTACGTCGGGCGTAATATATGTTTACTCTACTGCGGTGCCTGTCAAACTAACCGTGATCTAAATGAAGCCTTTATTAATTATTTTCTCAAAATCTGTACATTATTTAAGTTTTTGCATATGAGAACTTTTGTAAAAAAAAAATTTTATACCACATATTAAAATTTGAGCCAAATCAACTGGGACCTCAAAACATAAGGATTCGTGCGGGGTCCTTTGACGAAACACTGTTATCCTTTCCTCAATTAAGGAAAAATGACAGTAATTTGGTATCCCAGGTTTCCTGTTTTCACCACTACGCACGCTGGTGTCGACTTATCTATCCCCTCCCATCATATGCACCTGGCCAATAAAATTACTTTGGAACATAGTAATTTTTACTATACTAAATAGCAATGCAGTAGAGTTAGAAATTTTACTACGTCACATAGTAAGTTCTACTACAAAAAGTGAGATTTTTAAATGATTACAATAAAATTTACTACAATGTATAGTAAAAATTATACTAACAAAATTTCTACTATGTTACACGTAGTAATATTCATGACACTGTAAAAATACAATAGAAAATTTTTATATAAGAATACAAAAACAAGGATGTACGGATTAGCTTATGAAAATGACATAAGTCCTAGCATGTATTAATTGTTAAAAGCTAATATTAAATATGTTTGAAACGAAAAGATTTAAAACAGGTTAGTTTTATCAATACGAACAAAAATTGGTACATAGGTATATAAATTAACGAGAAAAATGACTTTTACTAGACATTTTCCTTATGATACAATGAGTAAATTAAAAAAAAAACACACTTATTCAAGCAATCTAGTGATTTTTTTTAAGCTTTTAATAATTTTAGAAAAAAACCAAAAAAGTATGAAATGTAACACTCTATTTCTTTAGATATGTCATTATCAATGAACTGCATAGATAGTAAGGTCAGTTGAACACGTTAGTTAGGACCTAATAGCATGCTTTTTATCAAATTTAATGTTTATAGGTGAGTTACATCTTATATATTTACAGAGAATATTAGAGAAAATGTGAGGCGAAATCTAAAATGGTACAGCAGCCAGCATTTGTCTGGAGAGCTAGATGTATTGTTTTCTTTTTTAGACTCGCATCTTAGTCTTAGCTTAAAATTTTTTTTTTATTTCGCTTGTGTAAGAGGTTAAATAACTAAAATTATTATCTTTACAACTTTTAAGGACTCACTTTTTTTCAAATTTTTGCCTCAATACCAAACAGAGTACAATAAAACTTTCCTTTTGCATTTTTACAGTCGGTACTTGCACCTAATCATATAAAAGCTTATGAAACAAATGAATGTTCTTTGAAAATGTATTTGCTTTTCTATACGTAAGTTGTATGCAATATTATTTCGTATAATCTTATTATATTTATTAAAATAATAAAATGCGACACGACAGGTTCTCAGCAATATCGTACTTGGCTTACCTACCGTCAAAACTTTATTTTATTCTCCTTAAAATAATTAGACGGACATATAATTTTAGACTTTATTTATTCAATTCTTCAGAGGTGTTAAGATTTATTTCATACATTTCCTAATATTTGCTGTTGAACTTGCT